ATATACTATATATTGGGGGTACCCTTGGGTCCTCATATACTATATATTGAAGGTACCCTTGCAGTGGCGTAGCCAGCAGGGTAGCAATTGGGCAATTGCCACCTAAATCAAATTCTATTACCACCTAATTTTTTTTAAATGCGCGCAATTGCCCATTGTCAAAAAATGTTAATACCTGTGTATGCTTAAAGATTCAAGGAGTGTTTTCTTTCAATACATTTTCTCTTGATGAGATCTAATCAAGTGATTTACAAAAATCAATCTACGATCTTTTGCATTCAAAGAATGATCACAGTAATAATGATTTAATAGTATTTTCTGTCAAAATACGCTCTAATATACTTAAATGAGCTAAAGAGAAACTTGAATGAATACTCAACGATCTCTCTACGAACATAAATCGTATTGTACAGAAACGACTGAAGCAATCTAAATTAAAAGCTTCCACAATGTATGTTGTAACATGATTCTTGCACTCTTAGAGTTGAAAACGTGAATAAACTACATAGAAAATCTAAATAAAAATCGACTGAGTATCTAAACGACAGTGTTTTGAAAACTCATCTCAGGCATTGAAAGTACTAGAAATGAAATGATAATATGTAATTTACAGAATGCACATATGACTGAACATTGAAACCATGCAAAAAAGCTTTCGTGATTGAGAATTTGTTAGAGATATATGTGGAGTAATGCTTGTCATTGTCCGACGTAATAGGACAAACTAACTCATGCAGTTGTCCGATTAAAGAAGATAAACGAACCTTCATTGCCTGACGAAAGAAAATAAAGAGGCATTGATCAATGTTTCACGAAAAAAGATAGACTGACAGTCATTGTGTCTCTACCACATATTCAGAAAAGAGATTGATTTTCTTGTTCTATTGATACTTATTTATGACTTTTTGACATAAAATATTAAAATATATGAAATCAAACAGTACGTTTCTGAAATAGTGTTTAAAAAAAGCGAGCAAATTTATCTGTTAATCCAGTATGACTAATTTCTCTTCAGTAAACAACAAATTCTGTAATGCGGACAAGTATTTAAAAAACTATTGCCCACTAGGTTTTACAATTGCCCATTGCTGCCACCTATTCAAAATAATTTAGCTGGTAAATTGCTACCTATGTAAAAAATCCTGGCTACGCCACTGTACCCTTGGGTCTTCATACACTATATATTGGAGGTACTCTGGGGTCATCATATACTATATATTGGGGGTACTCTTGGGTCCTCATATACTATATATTGGGGGTACCCTTGGGTCCTCATATACTATATATTGGGGGTACTCTTTGGTTCTCATATACTATATATTGAAGGTACCCTTGAGTCCTCATATACTACATATTGGAGGTACCCTTGGGTCCTCATATACTATATATTGGGGGTACTCTTGGCTCCTCATATACTATATATTGGAGGTACCCTTGGGTCCTCATATACTATATATTGAGGGTACCCTTGAGTCATCATATACTATATATTGAGGGTACCCTTGAGTCCTCATATACTATATATTGGAGGTACCCTTGGGTAGGGCTGGCCCTTTAACTTTACTTTAAAAGTTAAAGTTAAAGTACAGTACTTTAAACTTTAACTTTAAAAAATTTAAAGTTAAAGTGTATATTTTCTCATGCACCAAGGCTTCTCTGAGAACGCGATAAAACTTAAAAACGGCTCATGAAAGCACCCATAACCCGCCTTGAGCTTTATGACGGGGTTCCCATAACTCTACATGGGCTATATAACGGAGGTACCCATAACCCTACATGGGCTATATAACGGGGATACCCATAACCCTTCATGGGCTATATAACTGGGATACCCATAACTCTTCATGGGCTATATAACGGGGGTACCCATAACCCTTCACGGGCTATATGACGGGAGTACCCCTAAGCCTTCATGTACTATATAATGGGATATCCATAACTCATCACCTGCTATATAACCGGAGTACTCAAAACCTTTAATCTACTGTATAATGCGGTTGCCCGTAACTCATCATATACTGTATAAAGGGGTACTCATAACCGTCCATAAACTATATAGTGGGGGTACCAATAAGTCATTACGTACTGCATAGCGGTGATACCCGTTAACCTTCGTCTTCTATATAATGTAGATGCTTATAGCTGAAGGAGACAGAATTTTTTGGAAACGCATTGCAACTTGTAAAACAAGGAATAGGATGCGCAATGAATTAGCGTAGGTACGGTTACTGGTGCAAGTACGATAACCGTAGGTACTTATCGGTTCAAACCCGTTGTCAACAAAAACAGCATTTTTTAAGAAAATAACGATATTTTATAAAGCTTGACGAAACTAAATCGGGTCGAGAAATCCGAATCTGAAGTCAGTTTTTGAAAATTTCGAATTGAATTTTTTTGACAAAAGAAAGGCTTTTTTAGAAAAATAATGGTATCTTATAAAGGTTGACGAAAGTAAATCGGTGTCGAGGAACCCGAATCTGAAGTTAGTTTTTGAAAATTTCGAAGTGAATTTTTTCGACAAAGGAAAGGTTTTTTTAGAAAAATAGTGGTATTTCATAAAGGTCGACGAAAGTAAATCGAGGTCGAAGAACCCGTATCTGAAGTCCGCTTTTGAAAATTTTGAGTTTTAGTTCTTCACATATGATGTTTTTCAGGGATAAAGTTTTCTAGAAAAAAAGACGACTTTCAAGGAGCGGTTTAGTCTTGGGAAGAGAAAATTGAAAAGTTCAAGGATCTGATTTCAGATTCGGATTCTTCAACCTTGACTTACTTTTCGTCAATCTTTATGAAGTACCACTATTTTTCTAAAAAACCCTTTCCTT